GGGTAAGATGAAATCTTAAAAGCGGTTTTAATTTGCATTCCCCTAATTATTAGTGATGTTGAACATCTTTTAAGATGGTTCGTAACCATATTTACTTCTTTTGAGAACTCTCTGTTCAGCTCCTTAGCCCATCTTTTAATTGGGTTGTCTTGATTCTCTGTTTTCTGAGTTTGCTATATATTCTGGATATTAAACCTCTGTCAGATGTGTCGCTGGTAAAGATTTTCTCCCACTCTGTGGGTTTTTTGTTTGCTTCCCTGCTTGCCTCCTTTGATGTACAGAAGCTTTTTAGTTTAATGAGGTCCCATTTACTAATTCTTGCCCTTGTTTCCTGAGCAATCGATGTCCAGTTTAGAAGATCCTTTCCTACACCTATATCTTGTAGGTTATTGCCAATGTTTTGTTCTAACAGTTTCAGAGTTTCAGGCTTTAAATTGAGTTCTTTCATCCATTTGGAATTGACTTTTGTGCAGGGAGAAAGATAGGGGTTTAGTTTCATTCTTCTACAGGTTGAGATCCAGTTTTGCCAGCACCATTTACTGAACATGCTGTCTTTCTTCTAGTAAATATCCTTGGCTCCTTTGTCTAATATCAGGTGGCTGAAATTGCATTTCCTCATATTTGGGTCTTCAATTTTGTTCCATTGATCTATGGGCTTATTTTTGTGCCAGCTCCATGTTGTTTTTATGACTATAGCTCTGTAATACAGCTTAAAATCTGGTATAGTAATCCCCTCGGCATTGCTCTTAGTGGTCAGGATTGTTTTGGCTATCCAAGGTCTTTTGTGATTCCAAATGAATCTTAGAATGGTTTTTTCCAATTCTGTGAAAAATGTCATGGGCATTTTGATTGGCATAGCATTAAATCTATAAATGACCTTTGGTAAGATGGTCTTTTTCACAATATTATTTCTTCCAATCCATAAGCATGGGAAGTCCTTCCATCTTCTGATGTCTTCCTCAATCTCTTTCTTTAAAGATTAAAAATTTTCATTGTAGAGCTCTTTAATGTCTTTGGTCAGGTTTATTCTGAGATATTTTATTTTCTTGCAGCTACTGTGAAGGGGACTGTTTCCATGTTCTCATTCTCTGATTGCTTGTTATTGGTATATAGAAAGGCTACAGACTTTTGTAGGTTAATTTTGTAACCTGCCACTTTAGTGAATGTGTTAATAATTTCTAGGAGTTTTCTGGTGGAATTTTTGGCATCTCTTAGACATAATATGATATCATCTGCAAAAGGGATAATTTTATCTCTCCTTTTCCAATTATTATTCCTTTAATTTCCTGCTCTTGCAAGAGTTTCAAGTACTATGTTAAAGAGAAGTGGGGATAGTGGGCAGCCTTCTCTGGTTCCTGATTTCAATGGGAGTGCTTCCAGTTTTTCTCTATTTAGAATGATGTTAGCTGAGGGTTTGTTATACATGACTTTAATTATGTTGAAGTATGTTCCCTCCAGTCCAATTCTCTCTAGGACTTTGAACATAAATGCTTGTTGAATTTTGTCAAAGGCTTTCTCTGTATCTGTTGAGATGACCATGTGGTTCTTGTCTTTGAGCCCATTTATATGATTTATGACATTTATTGACTTACGTATACTGAACCATCCCTGCCTCTCTGGGATAAAGCTGACTTGATCATGGTGGATGATCTTTTTGATGTGTGTTGTATGCGGTTTGCAAGTATCTTGTTGAGAATTTTTGCATCAATGTTTATTAAGGATATGGGTCTATAGTTTCTTTTTTGGTTGTATCTTTACCCAGTTTGGGTATTAGAGAGATGCTGGCTTCATAGAAGGAATTTGGGAGTGTGCCCTCTTTTCCTATCATTTTGAATAATTTGAGTAATATTGGTTGGAGGTCATC